GCCTCGCCTCGCCTCGCCTCCGGCCCAGCCCTCCCGAGGGCCGGCGGCGGTGCGGCTCTCCTCCCGGCGAGGGCAGGCTGTACCCCGCTCCCGAAGCGCCGGCCGGGGAAGCGTTTTCATCACCGTTAGCCTGACCCAGGGGCGTTGGGGCAGCTCGGGTCCCGGGGCACGGGCGCCCTAGCAGCGGAGGTGTTGGGGAACGCGCCGGGGCCCGGGTCGGTTTCTGCCATTTCAGACCCCGTTTATGCCCGGTACGTGCCCCTTCTGCAACACCGCCCGAGCGCTGAGCCGGTGGCAGGCGTGTTTTTGAAGCGTGCCAGTCTTTTCCTCGAAGGCCTTCCGTTATTCCCAGCGCCGAGGCTGGCGTTTTGCAGGTCGTGCCAGCTCGGACCACCCTTCAGGGGAACAAGCAGCGTTTCCCCTCACTGTTCCTGCCGAACGATCTCGTTGCCTTCCTGCAAGCACCTTTGTTTTCTGCAGTGGCCAGAAACGAAAGGTGAACTTTAGAAAATCTCTTAACCATAAAAACACTGAAGAACTACGTCTGTGATTTGATGCGGCATCCCATATGGAATCGTTGTCCTGTAGCTGTGGTCCTCTCACCGTTAATAGTCTTTACTTAAAAGGTTTGCTCTGGTTTTGCTGTGTTTAAGTCATTATGAACTAAAAACAGGAAAGGAAAAAAGCCAACAAAACAAAAGGAAAAAAGTTAAAAACCAAAACTTGCCATTATTTTCTAACGTTGAGTGCTATTTGAACACATAACAGCTGTATATAACGACTCCCAGAAATGGTGCATGAGGCACGTTGAGATTTTGCTTTATAGTGGTTTTCATAATACAATCTGCAGCTCCCTATAAGTCCCTGGCATATGTCTAGCACATCTGTGAAAGATAGTCGAGGACAGCATGTCCTTCAGTGAGCCCAAGTTTTGTATCAAGAGTTTACAGCATTGCTGGGAATGTTTAGGGCTATCTGCAAATCAAAAATGGCTGGAGAAATCTGTGTAGTACAGATGAGTGAAGTCTCCATATTTATATGGTGTAGCTAAAGTACAAACCACAGTTTAGGTGTCACATGATTATAAATGGAAGTCCCATTTCTTTGGGTTTTTTTCCCTTTTTCCCCCTAATACCCCTGTGTCCAGGATTCTCTTTTGCTGCTGGCTGCTCCTAACTCTTTATCTGTGTTATGATTCCAGTGTCCTTATGGCCTTCCTTCTGCAATTCAGGGCACTTCTTTCTTTTGCTAATACTGTGTTCCTGTCCCAGTGGTGCTTATTTGAGATGTATGTTTCTCAGCATACCATGCAGTAGTATAGCGTATATTCCTGGTGGCTTCTGCGATAAAGAGCCGCAACCTCAAGGAGCCTTGATAATGGAAAATTACAAAGCTTGTTGGGAACGTGGACCCTCCTTAGGCGTTCGTTAGTGCAGATGTGCACAGAGAATGAAATCGGGTTTATTTAGATTCCTTGAATGCAGGTTTGTGTGTGACCATCCCTGACGGTGCAGTCCAGCAAAATGCTGCATGACTCCTGGGAAGCAGCAGGAGCTGTCACATTTAGGGAGTTCCTTGACACCTGAGGCTTCTGGGCAAAGAGGCTCCAGACACTGCTGGTTATGGCATAAAGCAGCCATCCATCGTAAATAACTTCTTCACTTGTGTTTCAGTATGCATACAGAGAATTAGCAGTTACTGCCACACCTTTATTGGTTTTACCTTTATGTAGAATTAGGGAAAAAAATGGAGCCACTTAGGGTCTTCAGGTGTCCTGCTAAAGTTTCTGCTTTCTTAACATTCAAGTACCCATGCTTTCAGCTAAAGCTAACTGAAGGGGTGTTGTAGGAATTTAGCTGTTTTAGCAGACAATAGATGTTTCTACAACATTTACCTAGGTACTTTCTTTTCACAAAAACATATTTTTAGTGTGTTTGGGCTGTGGAGATAAGCTTCCAAGTTAGGGCAAGTGCAAGAGGTTTAACTTACTATACCATCTCAGGATGCGTGCTGTCTATGTGAGGCCACTCAAAAAATTACGCATTGTTAGAGTTCTCCAAGTGTGTTACCTTCACTTACAAATATCCCCAAAACAATGAGCAATTTAGAATTGATCAGCTATGCCTATGCTAAATTAGTTGGATGCAGCTTGCATTTTGGTACAGAAGTAAAATACTAGGACTCCAGTAAGTGTAGCAGTTCCTGAGCTCTTCTGAAAGACAGGCCAGTCATCCACATATCCAGTTGTTGACTTTGGTGCTAAAATTAAACTTTTTTTTTTCTTTTTTTTTTTCCCTTCTTAGTATTAAATCTCTGTTTATGCTTTTCAGCTTCCCATCACCAATGTTTCTTGGAATTGGACAGGTATGTTCACAAGTAAATCATACTAAATGTGCTCATTATTTTGTACGTTAAACTAATGTTTGCACAGAGATATATTTTAGGGGGGGAAATCGCTGTTATACTGCACTGCTTGTCTTCTGGATTAGATACACTGTAAGGAAGAGTGATTTGTTTTAGTGAGATCAAGGAAGTTTCAGCTTAAGTCAAAACTATTGCCTGGGAAGGGTAACGTAAAGGACTGGAAATGCCATTTATTTCCCCTTGTAGAGATAGTAGTTAAGAGATCTGGCCTTCAAAACTGTCAAGATTTGTTCTACCAAATGCATAGATCCTATGAGAATTCTGGAGCATTTGTGGATTATATGCAGAGATTATTACCCCTATCTGTAAAAAAACTGTATATTTCCTTATAAATATCTCCCCCCTTTCCCAGCAGTTTTACAGTAGGACTACCACACAATTTTGGTTCTTTGTTGCCTTATTTGCCTGTGGGCAACTTGGACTACTGCAGCAGAAATAGTTTTTTGTTATTTTTTTTGTCAGTAGGCATCATAGTAAAAACAAACCTCAAACGTCTGTGTACATGGTCCATAAAGAAGAATGTGTGACTCTGCAGAGGGATAGCTGGGAAAGATAGAGCCTTGAAGCAAGTGTTGTTTAGGCAAATTTAAAAGAGAGAATATACTTTCTGCCAAGGTTGCAACCTAAGAGTTAGTAAGGAAGAGGTGAAAACAGGGTACTACAAGTCTGACATCTCTGCTGTTTGGTGCTGAAGAGAGTAAAATGTCTTGTAAACTCTTTGCTGTGTGAGAGGGGGAAAAAGAGTTTCACACATCCAGACTGCTCAAGGAACCACACATCATGCTTCAGTGGAAGCCAAAGACTAGAAAATGTGGCAGTAATTCATGTTAAGGGCAATGATATGGCTTTGTTTCTTTGCAGAACTTAAGACTTAATGTCATTTCCATTTTTTGTTGACTGATCCTTCCAAGACTTCCCTGAACACTTTGTAAAGTGCATATAATATGGTATAATGCTTTAGTCTGCAGAACATGACTCCACCCCATTCTCTAGATAGCCAATTATTATATTTTTGTATAAAGGAAATTTTAACTTTTTTTTTCCCTCTCTGGGGCCATCTTTAACTCTTATGATGTGGGATTGCTCAGATATTCTCCTTCATTCTGTCTGTATCTTTATAATTTCTTCCTCATGTTGTCAACAGACTGATCAATGCACAACTCCTGTCTTGCAGTACCAAAAAAGCTGTAGGAATGATTCCGCAAACTAAAGAGCACTCTGAGTGAAAATAACATGATTATTCTGGGATCCTGTCCTGTTTTTTTCTCAGCTTCTTCTCAGCATGCATTGTTTCACAGGTTGCCACTAATTTTCTCAAGCTAGTAAAACATATGTCTATATTGTAGTTTTAAATAAATAGCTGGCAAAATTGATAAGAATAAAGTTATTCCAGTTTATTAATTGCATGCTATGGTGTTCTTTGAAAGAAATATGTAATACCTAGCATTTGTCAAATGCATATAAAGATTTTTCTTTGAAAGGGTTCTTTCATTCATACATTACAGTTTTACTCTTACATGACTTCTTTTTTCTTTTTTTTTTTTAGATGGCAGCCACTATACTTATCTTGTATGTGTCAAAATTAAATAAGATTGTTCACTTCCCTGATTTTGACAAAAGTATACCTGTTAAGGTAAGGATTGTGTAGGTCCTGATATTAATAAGAAAATGTTACCTCTTATAGTGGCATTCTTTCTATGGAGACAAGATATAAAAGAAGAACAGAAAAAATTTTGCATTTGTTTGTGATTGTATCTTTGTTTCATTTAATATTGGATTTGATCATTTTATTTTCACTGCAGTATTCTGGCCTTTTTTTTTGTAGAGAAATCTGGTGCCATTTTGTTACGCAGTAAATGGGAAAGGGTGCTGTGCCTTCATACAGCTGGACTAACTCTTTCAGATTCTTGAAGTATTTTTCTGGATGTATACAGCTCCCCATGGGATCAATGAGACATCTGTATTTAAGAAAGAATTTTGATCACAGCATAAAGGGAGAAAGGCTCCTTGGAAATTTGAGTGGGACCTGCGATAAAACAATAGAAAAAGGATATGCAGTAGACCAAAAACCCGAACAACAGTTGACTCCAAATGTAAGATTTATGTTCCATAGGAAGGGCTAAAGTAGTGCCCACTGAAAACACTGTAGGTAGAGACTAGCTGCATCATACAGACCTTAAGTGTGTATGGTCTAAAGAGGCAGGACAGAGAAAATATGAGAGGATCTTTTATTATCTCAGATTGGGAACTAGGATCTGAAATGACTACAGCAATGATCCGTGTAGATTTTTGCATCCGTATGCAGTGTTGCTGGAGCTTTACTTTGATGCATAAGCCTCTGGATTTATATCTTGTTGCAGGGTATTGATCAGTGTTTGGTCAGAGATGCAGGGAGTGTTAGCTCCCACCTCTGCTACAGCGCTCAGATATAATAGCTTTTCAGGCCAGCATCTTCATTGCAGAATCTTGTCTTACTATCGCTTATGAGGTTTACTATGAACGTCTTGCAGGCATTGGTGAATGCTGTTTATTCTTAATGCATGTTGAAATCATTGGCATTTCTGCATGTGAAAATCTTGTAGGAATATCTATAGCATCGATTATAAAGTGGACAATCCTTGTTTTTTCCAAAATGTGAAAGAAGAAGGTTTCCCAGTAGGTAGTTTTGAGTTCTGCATATAAACAACTTGTTGAGACCTTGAGGAGTTTCTTCCCTCCACCTCCCCCAGTCCCACTACTCTCCCTCTCTGCTGTTGCCTTCACTTTAACATCAGTACAAAGGCATTAAAAAAATATAGCACCCATTTTCTTTGTCCTAATAATATCTATCCCTTGGAAGACTTTCCTGGATATGCTGGGAGCGGTCAGCGCTGCAGCATCCAGGACTTGCATATTGTTTGTAGTGCTGGATTTGACTAGTCACAGTGAATCAGCTGGATTGCTCATTGTCGATTTCTTTACTTTTTAAAGCACCGTTTGACTTAGACTTTATCCTTTTGACAACATTTGCTTTCAATGACACTAATATTGTCATTGCTTTTTACTCCCAGACTGGTTTATGTCCTCGGTGCTTTCAGCTAGAGTCTTAAGTACTTATTTCAGTGACGAAGCTTTGGAGTTCTTGACCCTTTTTAAGTAAATGTTTCATTGATCTCTGGTGTTGTGCTGGATGTTGTAATTTTGTCTTTACAGTAGACAAATTTCAGAGGAAAGAGAAGGTAATGTCAGCTCTGTTTTCATCCTATGAATGAAATAAACCAAATTTTTCTAAGTAAAAATTTGCAGGAGAGATAGTGCATAGCAAATTTTTTGCAAACTTACATTGACAGGCTGAACATTTGTTGTTACTTATACTCCTGTTTACTTTATAGTCCTATTTACTTTTACTGTTACTTTCACTTAAAAGTTAACTTTATTTAACTATCGTTAACTTCTATGACACTTTTCTCCTCTCTCCTCTTTGCTGTAAAAGAAATGCAGAATTTTTAACGTAGATAAAATGCAGCATACTCCTCCGTGTGCTTTTCCAGCACACAGTGCTTTGAGAGGGCATAGCCTCCAACAAACAATGTCTTCCGAAACAAGTATAGGCACAAAAGCAGCAGCTATTACATGTGTTAGGATAGAGGATTTGTTTTGTCTTTCTGCCATTTCAGCTCCAGTTGACTGATAGTGAATGGGACTAGATGTACACGCCACCTTTGTCCCCTTGATTACTTTGGTTGGTTTTAATCTTTTGCAACTTTTCTGTAGTGGGAGAATTAACAGCTTTGAGCTGCAGCTGAATATTGTGTAGGGATCTCTGACTTCTTGTACATTTTCTTAAGGCTCTGAAGTTGTGTTACTGTTTCTCTGTATTGTGTTAGGGCCTGTATGTTTCTGTGTGAGTCAGTCTCATTATACTAGAAGCTGGAAAAGGTAAAGTTTAATTTACCACTAAATACTTACCTTTCCTTTCTAGTGTCTCGCATAGCATAATTTGTTGGGTAGATCTAAAATGGGTTATCTTCCAGGAATACTAATATATGTGGAGTACCTAGAGAAACACAGCATACTTGAAGTTTATTCATTCTTTTATTCCACCTGTTCTGTTGCTTATTTAGCTACTGTTATTAATATTACTTTTATACCTAAAATTCAAATATTAGGATGGGTATTAATCTGAGGGTTACAGTAATTAAAACTGATTAACATTTACTCTAAATGGAGTCTGAGTCTCATTAGAGGTAGATTGCGACTCTTCTAATGAAATCAGTGAAGCTGTAGTGGTGAATGGTCACATGAACAAGAGCTGCAGATCAGTTTGCAGCATAGTTACATTTTTTTCCTTAAAAAAACCCCTCTTTCTTGCTAAAAGTACATCTGATATTACAGGTATCAAATTCTATCAAGTAAAGTTTCTTAACAGTGCTTCAAAACATAATAATCTGAGTTGTGCTTTTAATTTTATCACAGTTGTTTCCTCTGCCTCTGATTTATGTTGGAAACCACATAAGTGGATTATCAAGTACCAGCAAACTCAGGTACAGTAAATGGAAGTTATAAGTAGACTGTTTGGATTTTACCCTTTTCTTTGTGGGGGTAAAATATAAACACTAACGAAGAGCATTGTATAGGGACTGAAATGCATATTAAGTCTGTCTGTCTAATCTCCTGGTATTATTACAAAATTCTTAACCTAACGTTTGATCTGTTTATGAGTTATATGCTTCTTTTAAGCGGAGCTTAGCCAGGCCTGTACTGACAGAAAATCACAATATTCCCCTGTGTCAATGAAAGTGCTTTCACTTTCCTGTCACACCAAAGCATCCAGCTTTTTCTGGGTGTCCTAACCAGAGAGTTTGAAAGCTATAAAAAAGACGGTTTTGAAGGAAGGAGAATAAGGGAAAGATTTGTACCATGATGTCAGTGCAGGTTATTTAGGAATCATGAAGAGATGGAAAAACTACTGTGCAGTGGGGTGGTGGCGGTGGTGTAGCCCTGCTGAGCACCAAAAGCAGGTTTTGGGAGATTGCTGAAGGGTTCCCAGGCACCTGTATGCCCATAAGCGTAGATCCGTGAGAGTTGCTTCCATGCTAGTGCTAAAAAGGTGTAAGTTATGTAGAGGACCTGCTGAAATAGATGGAACAACCACATTTTCTGTGGCAGAGGAGTGCAGAAGCATGATGACTGCACCAGGACTGCAGGATACAGCACTACCATTGTGGTGGTTTCTTGTATGTTATTACAGGCTCCTGAGGATTTGGTAGTAAGGTAAACCAAAACAGTTTTTTGCAGGTTTTCAGCATTTCAAAACTTTAAGACAGATGCTGGGAGAGAAAATGTATTACTTTTAATTTGTTTACATTTCTTTTTATTTATAGAATTAATTTTCTCTGACTAGCAACATTAGACACCTGATTATGCAAATCTTTGTTGTACAAATTCAGAAGTTGTTCCACTGAAGTGACTGTTCAGGCAGATATAAGGACTTTGGCAGTACTGTCCTTAGTAGCACTTCAGCCATTGTGAATATGGAAGTAGTTTCAATTCTGTAAAAGTTTGATTCATGGGTTCATCTTTCCCATTTCCCTAACTGTAACTTTAAAAAGTTTAGTAGGTTATTTTAAACATTAAGTGCACCATGTCCTCCTCCTATGGCTGACATACCTCTTTTACATATACTATTGGTAACTAATTTTTATAACAGAAAAGTAAGAATGGCTGCAGTGTTTCTACAATTAACATTTTGTTACATGGTTTTTTGTTATATTATGTGAGGTTTATATTATGGAATTTTCCACTTTATAGGGGTTGTCTGTAAGGTGTAGATGATCTTATGCATAACTTCAAAATGTCTGTTGTAAAGTGATTAAACTCTGTGTTAGGATTTGTGTAATCCATTAATGCAGTTGCTAATAGTTATCTAAACCGAGGATTAATTGGTCCATATGGCCATACTGTCAGATTTCCAAAGTGTCAGATGCAAATGTTTTCTCAAATCAATAAGGTTTCCAACTGTATTACTTTGTGTAGACCAACAATATGTTTTTCAAAAGTAGCTGTTTGTTTGGTAGTTGCAGCTGGTCCCACCTTTCATTTTTCTTGTACTTTCTCTGATTTTTTCTTACAGATTTATTTTATTTTTTTCAAAGTACAGCTTGTCTACTAAGCATGTTTGCTTTGTATTTTATTTCTGTTATATGTTTTCAGAGACAGGTTTATTGTGTATCCTCTAAGTTTACAATAGAAGTCTTTTTTACTTACCCTGCCCATGAATTCTACAGAAAGGGTTGTTTCATAGGGGCTATGCTAGGTAGAAAATAGCTTCTATATTCCATTTCGCTGATGCAGCAGGACCTTTTAGAAGGTAGCCAATTGCATTGTTTTACAAACTGGCAAATCTTATTATTTTTCAGTGAGTTGATTATCTAATCTGGCCCTAGTGTCAGACTGACATTTTTTAATATATGCTACGTGGCTGGGAATTTGTTTTGATTGCTTACTGTTGGACTAATGGTTTCATCTTCTGGTTAGTAAAATCAGATAAGAATTACAACATAAAAATGCTGTTAATCTGATGCTATGCTTGGATTTTTTTTTTTTTTGACAGTTTGCCGATGTTTACAGTGCTCAGGAAGTTTACCATTCCACTTACTTTACTGCTGGAAATCATCATACTTGGGTGATCCTTTTTTTTTTTTTTTCCATTTAAGATACCTTTATCTTAGATCATATCAAATGATTACTTGTGGCATCTCATCAGAATATTGAATGAGTGATTTTTACTGACAAATAGAGAAAAGCAAAGAAAGTGGTTTTATGTAGGTTTTTTTGAAGACATAGATACATATTAGTGAATACAGGAGGAAAAAAATTCAGCTTGCTCTAATTTACACTGCTTATTCTCTTGACTGTTGCAGAAGAATCAGGTAAGCAGAGCACAGCTCAGACACTTTTAGTGGTTATGGTTTGTGTGTCACCTTGGAGGCCCCTAAGCTGCAAACTGCTTCAAACAGACAGATCCTTATGTCTCAGAACAGTGACGATAGTATGGCAGTCTGCTTATGTAGCTTTCTGGTTCAAGTCTAAAAATGTACCCATTTAATGAAGCAAAGTGGTATCTACCAGTGTGCTGTTAGATCAGAAAACTCCTTAATTATGGATACTTCCTTTATTTTTAATGAGAAATCAAGAAGTGTATGCTATTGCAGCTTGGGATCACTAGTTTCAGTTGTACTGACTTGGAAGAACAGGAATATAAATACATCATACTATGTCACCGTCATAGTTCTGTCTATTAGTTAAGGTGGGGTCACAAGGGGAAAAGCAGCTTGCTGAAGCTGAACCTAGGCAACATGAGAGTGATGGTCAGGGGAAGGGCTTTTCAAAAAGCCCCCAAGTAGACTGTCATCTCCTTTTGGCTGAAGCAGCAGTTGATCAATGTGATTCATATTTGGGGATGCTCTGGGATTCTTTTCTAGTTGTAAGTTCTCACATGGAAAGCAGAACTTGCTGTCTTCTCCTGTTGGCCTGAGGACTCCCGCAGTCGAGGAAAATGTGAGTCGGTGAGGTTGTCATCAGTTCTCAGGTGGAATACAGCAATGTGATGTATAAGTGCAAGCAACATCCTAGCCTAAGGGAAGCTTAAGAGCAGAACACTGTATTCATACAGACTGCCGCAGTGTATTTCCTCAGGGCTGAAAATGAGAGGACTCCAGAGAGTCTATGCTGGCTTAACTCAGGATTTGAAAAGCAGTCAAAGTTTGGGTTGTTACTGTCTAGAGTCATTATGATAAAAGCCTAATATATCTAGAGACTGCATACAGCTTTGTTGTTGGGACAGTGGTCCACAGCTGTGCTTCTTTGACACACAGATTTCTGCAAGAGCATTGTATGTTTTGGTTTGATGGATCTTTTCTCACAGGCCAGCTCAGAGATGGGGCCTGGCCTGAGAGAATGACTAGCAGAACGTCTGTAAGGCACATTGCAGTATGGTGCAAAAATAAGTACTTAAGACATTTATAAATAAAGTAATACAGGTATAAGAAGCAAAATAGTTTTATGGTATGTTTTTCCCTACTCTGTGGCAGTGCTGATGTAGACATAGTGAAGAATATCATAAGCTTCTGTGCTTTCCCCTTCAAGTACAAGGTTTAAGTTTGACTTCAGAGTAAGTATCTATTTGAAAAATAGCTGAGCTAGTGTGCTGTACAGCATCTTCCCCAAGAAAGGTGGGATGAAAAACTCCATGAGATATGTGTAGTGATTTTCCTTTATTGGATTACTGGAAGACACTGAAAGATGTCCATTATGAATATTAATACACAGTAAATTACAGTTTGTTTCAGCACTGTTACTTTAAACCTTTAATCTTTACTTTTAAAATTATCTAGTAGGAGAATGGTCACAATGCTTTTTCAGTCTCTGTTGTCAGGGTCAAGGTCTGACAGTGTGGCACATGGTCAATCACATTGCTTCTGTAAGGTTATCAAGACCTTGCCCTCCTGTTAAATGTTCTGTGATTACTAATCACTTTGAAACTTTTCAGACAGACAGCCATTTAATCTCCTCTTCAAATAATGAAAATGTGAACTGTCTAATTTTTGCCTACAGGAAACGATACCCACTGAGTATTATAGTCAGCGTATTTGCCATCATTCTTGGGGCTTTCATAGCAGCTGGGTAAGGTTTTCATTTGTTATACAAAGTCATGTTATGAGAGGAGGGACCCCAGGAGGACTTTTTCCTTGTTAAGTGCCCAGTAAACCTAAGTTGAGATCAGTTACTCTGGATTAAGTTGATTTGGAAAATCTCTCTAGTGACATCATTGGGAGGTGCAGGAATGCAAAGGGAAAAATTAAACTCCAGCTGGAAGTATTTGGGTGCTTCTTTCCCCCCTCTAGGTTTTCCGTGGTTGCAGGATCATAAATGAAGCAAGTTAAAATTGTGAGGAGTGCTGCTTTTATTTCATAGTAGCAGTGTATTTTAATAATCTTAGAAAAATATATTCTTGTTCTGGATAGAAAGACTGCTTTTTTTGTTGTCAAATATTGTTTTGAGTTAGGCAGTGTGTGTTTTTTAAATCACTTTGAACAAGTTCAAATGTGCAATTAAGTTCACAAAGCACTCATCTGCTAGTCCCCTCTGTTTTCTTTCTGTTTGAATATTCCTTTACTTAACTGGAACTGTAATGTTATTTTTTGTCTCTTGGATTTGCTATGTACAAAGGTAAATAATTTCCATGTGATGTGACTCAGATAGAGCCATGTCCTACTAAATGAATTACCGTATATCCATGAGGTTACTAGTCAAAACAGAAAGGATGACAATATGTCTGGTCTGACTGTAAAAAACAAGTAGTTAGACTTTATTCCATAGTTACTTTTTGTGTTAAAAGAAATAGATAAGTAATGCTCAGTAATAATTGGACAGGTTGTCAGGATTGAGGCAGATGGAATTTTTCAAAGAATGAAAACTGAACATTTCCTGCCACTTCCGCACTAAATACTGGGAACTCTCTGATGACTCATTTATGATGGTCCCGTGACTGGAGAAGTGTAAAGTACTTCGATTTACAAAGAAGGCTTAAAGCAAAACCTGTGACTTGCTGGAATTCTCAGGATTTGTATTTCCTCATTTATGATATTTCTCTAGGTAAACAAGGTAATACAATGCTCGTATACTGTTTGCTTATTTACAATATACTATTTTTTTCCCAGGTCTGATCTGTCTTTTAATCTGGAGGGCTATACCTTCGTATTGCTAAATGATATCTTCACAGCGGCCAATGGAGTTTACACAAAGCAGAAAATCGATCCAAAGGTAACTGGGTTGGTTAGGTTGAATTTAACATTATGACAATATGATAACAGTGGGTTACTTATTGTATGACTTTATGAACATCCAGTTATGAACTAATAGTTTCATTTGCTTTAGTATTTTAGTTGATATATCCATCCTTAATACAGAACAGCTGGGAAAAAACTTGTTACTAATATCTCAGGCCAGGCTTAGATAAACAGTGTTTTTGTTTTCTCCCAAGTCTTTTAGGCAGAGTTTGTAGTGGCTTTAAAACGTTGCTTTTGGCTAATAAAATAAAATCAAGCCAGGCCCAAAGCAAATTGTTTACCTGTAAACTTGAGATATATAGATAGATAGATAGATAGATAGATCTAAGGAAGGTGACTTTTTGACTAGAAACACACGTTAAGTGAGATTTTTATGTTACATGAACTTGTGGGTAGGAACAGACACCTGTCCAGTTTGAGTCAATAACCACAACAACTGATATCTTTTTTGGCTGTCTAAAAGCAAGTCTACACCAAACCCAGGTATGCAAAAGAATTAGGTGATACCTTGATACATTATACTTTATGTAAGCATTGAGCAGGCTGCTCTTCAAATACAGTGCCATGAAAACACACCAAGCTATAACAAAGAGCAGTCTTGGAGATGCTGGATGGAGGTTTTGTCACTGATTTTTGTGGTTTAGTCTGTACAGTGGAAATATATATCTTTTAATAATCTCATGAGTCACATCAAATCCAGACTCTGTATTTTTTTTAATGAGCAGCACTTAACAGCCTCACAGTTTTCTACAAAATACAGGATTTAATTTTAAAGCAAGAGATAAGCTGGAGAGATTTGCTAAGTAACATGGCCAAATCTGGAGGAAGGGAAGGGTCCTTTTTCATTCCCCTAATCTTCTGCTTTTGTGTCAGGCAAGTTAACCAACAGGATATATATCCCTCAAATTGCTTGAAGTTACATCAGTTACCAGTGATTACAGATGCTCCATCTAGGAGTCAGACTTCATTAATTTTCCTGTTATGCTGGCCCCAGGGAGCCACTCTGCCCTGTGCTTTCGTGGTTGATTTGCAGTAGATGGAATGGGTAATCCCTTGGCCAGGCAGAGACTTACGTGGAGTCTAACATAAAGCAGTTCTGAGCCAGTGCCTTGGGAAGTTTCTGACTAGCTGGTGTTGTACAGAAACTGTTCAGGGTATAGCAGAGTAGTAATATTCTGCTGAGCATACAAAGTGACTGAAGTGAAAACTCGGCTCAGTACCCAACTATCACAAGCTTGTATTTTAAGTTGGAATGTATTATGTTTTGTCTGTTCATTGACGATAATGTCAGAAGGATTGCCAGAGTAATATTTAGTATTTTGCTCCCAAATGGCTTGTAATTCCAAACACCATGTTTCATTTTTCACAGGAGTTGGGAAAATACGGTGTCCTTTTCTACAATGCTTGTTTCATGGTGGTTCCAACAGTTATTATTAGCTTTTCTACTGGAGACTTTCAGCAGGTAAGGAGCAATATTATATATCTCAGAGTGATAATGGTATTTTGTTCATTTTTTTCAGTTGGGGGGTGGGTGGGGTTTTTTGTTTGTTTTTTAAAGAGGTAATCCTACCTCCATGTTAGTGACTATTATTTGAAATATGTGACTTGGACTTGCCCTTCACAGGTAAGAACTTGTAATTATTCACTCTAAGGAGAAGCTGAATTTGTGTGATAGCCCTTGTATGAGTCTTTGTTTAAGAACTAATGTATGACTGGGGACTCTCAGCTAGAGCAATTGCTTGGGAATCCAGCTGCACTGTGTGATTGCCACATGCTCTAAAATGAGATTGCAAATACCAGAACCAGACAATTTCCAGTCCTTCTCTCATTCTGATGCACAGAACAGATTCCTGTTTAGTCTCAGTCTAGTTTAGTAACCTACATTTTACATTCTTATAGAACGACAGCATGACTCTCCATAGCTAATCATAATACAGTATAATACTGTAGGCAGTATGTCCTGGCATGTAACGTATCAGACCAGGAGGTTTGTGTTTTTCTGGCTCCCTCATGGACTTGCTGAGTTGCCTTTTTACTACCAGTAAAATGAGTCTAGACATTCGTATTCCTTTTTGGAAATCTTTGAGATTTGCCACTGAAAATTGTTACAGAGCTTGGGGGTGTCATAAATCATTCCAGTGTCCATGATTTTATCATGATGTTCTTAGAAGGCTGCTTTAAGTGGAAAAATTGTCATTCCCTGAAAATGATGGATTTAGGTCTGCTCTGAGTGTGAAATCTCTTCTTGTGACATCAGTCCAGCATGACCTTGTGCCAGTTTAGGAAAATGCAGCTAATGCCCTTCTTGGCAGATGTAGTGGGGACCAAGTTTGTATGGCTGTAAGGTTTCGACTACTTTCCCAGCAGATGGGCCTGGAGGCATTTTGAGAGAACTGGACAGGGAAGTCTACCTTGTTGCTAGGTTTATTCCGTGGGAAAAATAAAGAGTGTGTTGTGCCCACATGTTGAATTGGCACAAACAATTTAATGCTTAATTGCCTGAAAAGAATAAATATCAGAGAAATGCATAGTGCCTATTTTGCATATGCATTGGCTTGATTACTTAATATTAAAAGTCCCATTAAATGTTGTGCATAACTAGTGTCAATGTGATGCACAGAGATTAAATCACAGAAAAATGGGAGAAAATGGAAAAATACTGATGAAAAGTCAACAAATCATTGTAGATAACACCTGTATTTAGCAGATTTTCAGGCAATAGAAGTTGGCTTGCTTTTACCCTAGCAGAGCTTTTTGCCTTGGTCCATCACAGACAGTGCACAGCATGTATCTTTTGCCAGTCAAAATATCGGTGCTGTGTCTATGTGACAGGGAGATTGCTTCTGCTCCTCTAGCTACTTCTGGAATGGTAGTTCCCACATCTTGTAGAGGCTGCAGTTTGGGAGTGTCCCAGTTATTCACTTGTCCTTCACCAGCTGGCTGACTAGGAGGACAGGAAAGCACGATACAATGGAAGAGAAAGGAAGCCCCAGAATGTCTCTCAGTAATACTTTGCAGTTTGTTGTTGCACACCAGCGCAATTCTAGCAGGCCAGAGCTGCCCAAGATCCCTCTAATCTGTTACCTCAGGTGGTGGAGGCTCAGCTAGCCACAGCTCAGCATGGAGCAACAGCCTTTATCCTATTTCTCAGGGATGTGTTCAGCCTTTGCTGAGTTTTGTGCTGATAAGGGTGACTTTAAACTAACCAGATTAAAATGAGGCATATCCTGGAGTTACTAAGAATGGAAAAGAACCTGTGACATGTTTTCTTAGTGACTGTTGTGTTGCACTTGTTTGTTTGTTTGCTGCATGTCACTAAGGAGCAGACTTCAAAGTGATGATTTAGCCTTTTCATTGACCTTCATTGATGAGAGACTTCCGTAATGCTTATAGAATATACTTTTGAGCTTAAAAATGCAGGCTTAGACCTTGAAAGCTGTTAATGAATGAATATATGGTATGAAATAGATTTCAAGGAGATTACTTATTTGCTTTTTCTCTCTGTCTCAAATCAACACTGTTTATTATATAATATTAATCACAGTGTTTGTATCTGTATCAGTAAATATAAAACCACAAATTCTCTGTATTGTATTTATATTTATGGCTTGCAGTGTGCGTTTTTTTATCTGCACTGCTATACATGTTACAAGAATGTGTCTAGGTATCGTGGGTGCTGTCATCCTGTTGTCTCTGAAGTTAAATGCATCAAAATGTTTCTAGTAGTAATATAAAAGTTTCATAATTACAATGTGAATCAAGTGTATTTTGTGATTTTGCACATTTTCATATTACCTACATTTATATGTGTTTACAGTTGATGATATAGCACATAATTCTTGCTCTCTCTTTTTTTTTTGTGTTTTAATAGGCAACACATTTCCAGCACTGGACAAATTTTTTATTTGTCTTTCAATTTGTTCTTTCCTGCTTGTTGGGGTAAGGACACAGGGCAATCAAGTAAGGTGTTTTAATGACAGTGTTTCAAATTGCAAATCTCAAATGTAGGACTCACTAATAAGTTATGTTAAACTTCTAAGAAAATATATTTTCCCTCCAGGCTTCTGTCTTGTCTTTTTATTATTTCTAATAGTGTAAATAACTGTTTTAGTACTATCTGTGTTGTTGACCTCACAGGACAGTGGTCAACAACATGACATTTAGCTTTTTACTTACTGTACTCAGTGTCTCTCTGCTGGCCACCTCTTCTGATTATCTGACTTCTTCTTTGCAGTTAAAAGAACCTAAGCCCTTTAGTATAGGAACTGTTTCAGTTGTTTGTTCTTTAAAGTACCTGGAAAAGTGTGGGAGACTCAAAAGTAATGAAACAATGCTTTGTTCCTGTTGGAACTGCAGTCAAGGGAAGAACAGAAAAATGTGTTGGATCCTGTTCTGCTCTTTCACATGTCACCACCCAAGGGGTCAAAGTAACTTCAAATACTGACATTTAAGAAGCACTGCTTCTTAATGACTGACTCTGCTAGTTGGCTCTGCCAGAGCTCAAGCAGCACATTTGAACGTGTATTTTGAGTACTCTGTATATGTATATCATTAACTTAAAATACAGATCCACAGAATCTTATTTTAGCGTTTGGAAAAGGTGGGATTGAACATCCCAGCAAAATACTGATCCAGAAAATGTTGAAGTTTTCAAACTGTTCGTAAACTTCTGAGCTTCCTGGGAGGAATTCATAAAATTTTCTCCTTTACTTTATCTAGGTTTCTCTTGATGTATTCTACTGTCCTGTGCAGTCATTACAATTCTGCGCTCACGACGACAGTAGTTGGTGCCATCAAGGTGAGTTATGGAGCAGAAGACGGAGATGAGAACGCTCAAATAGGTAGGGAAGAGGATTGACTCAGCAGTGATCCTGATAGTGCTTTGAGCTGGAAACTCAAAATGAGGGCTAATATTGAGACAATGCTTGTGCCACTGCTTCTTTGATTGAAGCTCAGGTATTTCCTACAAGAGAATCTTGAACCACTTTAATTAAAAGATGTACATTTAACCACATTTCATCAGGTACTGTCACCTGCTTCAGTTCTTTATCAGGTTACTGTGAGTTAGTCAAGGTGGCCTGGTGCAAATCCACTGCAAACTGATACAGACTAACCCACTTTCGCTTTGGGCTGAACTAATTTCCATTGCAGCTAATACATAGGGCATTCATAGATAGAGAGTAATGGCTAAGCTGTAGTAAGGAGTGTGTTGCTTGGTTAACTGCTTCAGCCTCTGTGTCAGAATTTGTGTTCTAGCTGAATGGACTATTTAATCTTGGTTTGTATAAATTCTGGTCAATTTGATCAACACCAAAACATGCATGTCTTAAAAACTGAACTTCATGTCCTTACAGTCTGTTTTCTCTAACCCAGTTTAATTTAAAACCAGTGCAACTTCCTCTGTGTTGATGAGGCCAGTATGTATGAGCTGGGAACATCACTGACTGCCCAAGCACCTTTTTGTAGGCCAGTTTGCAGGGAAGCACAGAGCTGTACGTTGGAAGAGTTTTAGCAAAAGATTAAACATGTGCAGTTGTGGGCCAAACGACTGTTTGAATCTGTGCTAGCTTAGGCACAGGAATAACAGTCCTCAGGGTGCTCCCTTGCATGGGTGACTAAGGAAAACAATACCACTACCATAGCAAAATCCACAAAAGGAAGACGGTACTTCTCTTTCTACAGTTGTTACAGTTGGTTTTTTTTTTTTTTTGAAAGCTAGCAAGATTAATCTAGTATTTTTCATTCTGTGGCCCTGAAAGTGTTCTTTTAAATTTTATGTGTCTGCGTTGAATCATTAAGATAGAGCAATAGTATTTCTATTTTCTGGGCAATAATAGTCTTTGAGACATTTTGAACAGCTTCAAAAATTGAGAAGCGCTTTATGATGCAGTAGTCCCCAGTAAAAACAGGTAGAAATTATGTCACTGTCCAGGCTAGCTGCTAAAACATTTGAAACCAACAAAGTGTTGGTAAAATGGTCACACAGTTCTATAGCTTTAATTCTGTCTATAGGGGACAATTTTCCCAAAAATTGATGGGAGCGGGGTGAGAGGTAGCATTTTTAACTTTAAACTGTGCCTGCCTTGAACTTGAACCAAGTGTTTTCAATGCACATTTAGTTGGCAAAGGAAAGAGGTAACCCTTTTAAAGCAATAATTTTATTGTAACTTTAAAGCATACTTTTTATGCTTGACAACCCAAACCCTGCTTTTAAGAAATGGGATTTGAAAGGAACCTTCTAAAGATTAAAAAGAAGTACATTTTCAGAAGGTAGCCATAGCTCCATTTTGTCTAATATCAAATCGCTGATTTTCTTTTTTTTATTTTCTTTCTTTTTTTTCCCCCAGAAAGTCACTCTCAGTGCATTGCATGCATTTAGAAAACATACTGATTTTATTATTTTATTTCGCTGTTACATTACCCGTAAGGCTGACATCCTGTGAAACTAATTTAAATGCTGAT